CAGAGCCATTGTCTGAGGGAACAGAATATCCCCAGGCTATGGCCTAAGTAGGCAGCTCCTTGTAGTTTAAAGCACAGCCACTATGACAAAGATAAAACAAAGTAATGCAATGAATGTTTTTATTGCATTAGCTGACAATCTAAGAGGGATTCGGATGTGAACAGATAAGTATACATGTCAAAGTTATTCTGTTACCCACAAAACATGCTTTTATTGTGTTAAGAAACATGTAGGATTTATTTTAAAGAGTAATTCCAATGGTCAACAGCAGCGTTTTTCACTGTTTTAGGAACTTATTTCAATAAGCAATTCAGGAACCATTACATTCATGTTGTATAAACTGTAGTCTACAGGATAAAGTTCAAACATCTACAGAGGTATGAGAGTCTCCTAGAATCTACATTATCTTCATTTTCTTGTCTATTCCCATAATGTCTTTGAATTCTTTTTACATAAGGACTCATTTTTCTACGCTGAATTAAAGTACTTTTCAATATAGACCTTTCTGATTTATATTTCACTAGTTTCCAAATTATTTACATACTCTTACAATCTACGATTTGGGCTAGGTTGATACAGCTCAATGGCATGGCTCTTGCCTAATACAAACAAGGCCCAAGGTTTGACCCTAACCATTGCAAACAAAACCATTATTTCACATTTTAACCACTTAAATGTGTTCTCTTTTACATTTCTAAAATTGTCCATGATCAAAATACAACCCCACAAACCAGGAAGATGTTCAGTGTAATGTCAAAAGCATCCATAAATATACCTGGGATACGAAAACATATTTCAAAGAAATGTGGTGACTCCCAAACAGATCAAGCCAATCAACTGTCTCACCCATTCAGAGGGCCTGATCCAGTTGGTGACCCCTCAGCCATTGGTTCATAGTTCATGTGTTTCCATTTGTTTAGCTATTTGTCTGTGCTTTATCCAACCTTGGTCTCAACAATTCTCACTCATATAAACCCTCCTCATTCTCACTAATTGGACTCCCAGAGATCCACCTGGGGCCTAGCCATGGATCTCTGCATCCAGATCCCTCAGTAGTTGGATGGGGTTTCTAGCACGACAGTTAGGGTGTTTGGCCATCCCATCATCAGAGTAGGTCAGTTCGGGCTGTATCTCGATCATTGCCAGCAGTCTGTTGTGGGGGTATCTTTGTGGATTTCTGTGGGCCTCTCTAGCACTTTGCTTCTTCCTATTCTCATGTGGTCTTCATTTACCATGGTCTCCTATTCCTTGTTCTCCCTCTCTGTTGTTGATCCAGCTGGGATCTCCCGCTCCCCCAAGCTCTCTTTCCCTCGACCCTCGCTCTTCATTACCCCCATTCATGTCCAGGCTGTTCATGTAGATCTCTTCCATTTCTCTGTCATTGGACGATCCCCGTGTCTTTCTTGGGGTCCTGTTTTCCAGGTAGCCTCCCTGGTGATGTGAGTAGCAGTCCATTCATCCTTGTTCCACATCTAGTATCCTCCTATGAGTGAGTACATACCATGTTTGTCTTTCTGAGTCTGGGTTACCTCACTCAGGATGATTTTTTCTAGATCCATCCATTTGTCTGCAAACCTCACGGGTCCTGTGCTCATTGCATGAGTTGGCTGTTTGAAGCCTGGGGCCTATGCAGGGTCACTTGGCTCAGCCTGGGAGGAGGGGACTGGACCTACCTGGACTGAGTCTACCAGGTTGATCTCAGTCCGTGGGGGAGGCTTTGCCCTGGAGGAGGTGGGAATAGGGGGGTGGAGTGGGGGGAAGGTGAGGGGAGCCGGAGGGGGGAGAACAAGGGAATCCGTGGCTGATATGTAGAACTGAATTGTATTGCAAAATAAAAATAAAAATTTTTTAAAAAAAAGAAATGTGGTGAAACATTGGAAAAATAAAGGAAACATTTCCATTTGCTAACATGTGGCTTCCCATTTGATTTGTTTTATTTGTTTCTTTATATGGCTCATGATTTGCTTTCTGATACATTGTGATGTGATTACTTATGGTAATTTCATTTCCAGATAGGGTGTACTTTAAAAACAATTACTGTAAACACTATATGTTTCCCCTTCTTATTCCCCCTCCCTTCCTTCCTTTCTTTTTGTCTTATTCTTTTTTATCTTATCTTTAAAATATTAAAACTCTTATTTTTTAAAGTTTTAGGCATAGTTTTCAGAGTATTTATTGTTTGTTTGTTTTCTATTTTTGAGTTATAATTTCATTACAACATTTATTTCTTCCCCTTTCCTCTTCCAAACTCTCCCATATACCCCTCCCCTCTCTTCTTCAAATTCATGACATTTTTTCACTAATTGTTATTGCATGCATATATCTATATGTATATACACATATATTGTTAGTATATACATTTATATTGCTAAATAGAACCGGTTCTGTTCATTTGTTACTCCTTAAAAATGCATATAAGTACAGGCTTTCTAAAAATAATTTAATACATACATAAACAAAAGATGTGTAGGGTTTAAAAAAATTCTCAGACAAAACATTGGAACCTATGCTCAACACTGCTCAAATGGTCAAGAACACGAGACTAGATAAGTCATGGACCTAGTGGAAAACCAAATACTACTGTTCTGTTAAAAGAATATTGCAATAAAATGACTCCTAATGATATTCTGCTATACTCATAGATAAGTGTCTTGCTCAGCCATCATCTGAGAAACTTCCTCTTGCAAAGGATGGGAACAAATACAGAGACCCACAATAGGACAAAGTGTAGAGATCTTGGAACACTCAGTACTAAATGGGATGTTTTCATCAAATCCTTTCCCTTAGTGCTCAGGGAACTCTGTAGAAGAGGGGGCAAAAAGATTTTAAGAGCCACGGAAATGGAAGATATCAAGGAAACAAGGCCTCCTAGACACAACAGGACTGGCACACACAGGAACTCACAGACTGTGGCAACATGCATATGGCCTGCACAGGTCTAAGCCAGATGGGGCCCCAGTCCTGAGAGGAGGAGCAGACAGATACAAGCCCCATCTCTACCTAGAAGCTGTCTCCAGTTGATAACCACTCCGAAAGGAAAAAAATCAGTTTTCTCCAACAGCGTCTCACTGGGTAAACAAATCACACTTATTGGAAGATTCCATGCTCAGCAGTAGATGGCCAACACAAAACAAACTCAGTTGTATTTTGGGAGGTTTATTTGTCTCACCCTTTTTTCTTATTCTTATCTAGTTCTTCCCTTCTTCCCCCCACTTTCCCTTTTATTTCAATTTTGCTGTTTAATTTTCCCCCATGTTTCCCAAGATGCCTTGCTTTGTTTTTGTAACTGTTCTGATATTTTTAATTGAAAATTAATTATATATTGAAGACAATTGAACTTTTTAAGAAGAGATACAGGAAAAAGGAATTTAAAATGGATGAATAGCATACAATCTAAGATGATTTCCAGGAAAATCATCGCTATATTTATCTACTCTACTGTACTATGGTGATCATAATAATTCACTTTCTTAAAAAATACAGTAAAATGACTTAATATTTTGGCAATTCTGCTCTTTAACTGTATAAAATCTGTCATGGTTTGAGCTCAATTAACAAGGCTGTGGTCTAAATGTTGATGTTTATTAGCTAGAAACATCATAAGGTCCAACTTATCAGGTTATGGTAATCATCATTTCAAGAGATCAGCAAACTGAGGTACAAAAATATTTAATTCCTAGTTGGAAGATACACACAAGATAAAGAGAATCAGATTGCAAAATCAGGGACTCTGGCTTCCTCTTTATCAATATTCTAAATTATCCTATTATGATAATAAGTAAGATTAAACAAACTTTATATGGCAAACACAGTTTAATTATTTTTTACATTTAAATTCAGTAAAATGTGTGTGCATTACAAAACAGAAAATATATAGTTGATTTTTTATTAATTACTTTTTTGTTTTTAATGAACTTCATCAAATTAAATTTAGTTATTCTGTGACATTCAGCTTGAGAGATTAACTGGTCTTGGTAAAAATAAAAGAAATTTCTAAGCACTGTCATCAACAATTGCAACGTTTTCATGAGCCAAAATACCTTGGAGTTTCTAACCATATGAATTAAAGTTCTCATCTTTACTTTAAATCTCCTCATACAAACTATGTAAAAAAAAACCTGATGTCTACTCAAGGTATAGAATAAGTGACATTTTCTAATTGTTTTCTTGTGGTCACAGACAAAAACATACACCCACTTTAGGAATACAGCCTCCTTGTGACTGTTTTGATGTTTCTAAATACATCTGTATCTATAAGGATACATTTTTTCAAAATAATGCAGACAATGTATACAACAGATTTCTCTTGATATTATTGTACTCTTTTAACACTAGATATTTTCTATTCTAACTTCATTCATTTTTTTCTGATTATAATTTCATGAAAAGCAAAGCTCCACTTCTTGACACCCTCTACTATGTCAACATTGGTGTTTTCCCCTTTGCCACCAAGGTGAGCATTGTCTCAACTTAGGAAAGCAAATGTAATCACACACACACACACACACACACACACACACACACACACACACACACACACATCATTTTCCCCACCAACTTCATTCTTCCAAAGAAGTACAAACTATCTTCATTGCATCGTTCTCTCTACTAATAATGAAAATAATAAGTGGTGCTAAGGGCTACTAGAGATTTCTCAGGTCAAAAATGAATGTTATGTCTCAGTGCTGTGTGAGTTTGAACTGGAAAGTGAATCCTGACCATGTCTTCTTGGTAATGTGTTGGAATGGTTCCACCTATAGAGTGAGTCTAAGATCTCTCTTTTCAAAGATTTTATTTTCTAAGTCCCTTTGTGATATGGGGCTTTTAACACAGTGGTGTGTGCCAGGTGAGTTCAGCTCAAGGTTTATACTCATAATAGTTGCATAGAAGAAAATGAAACTTTAGCATGTGTATCCTTCCAGTCAGGCCATAACATTAGAAGGGACTTGATATACAATTGTTTGGAGAAGAAATATTGAAAGTCAAGTCATGGTCCCTTCCTAGAGGGTGGGGTTTGCTGGCAGGATGTATCTGCCCAGGACCCTTATTAAAGCCCCAGTGACCTCTTTATTCCTCAGACTGTAGATGAGGGGGTTCAGAGCTGGGGTGACTATTGTATAGAACACAGAGATTATATTGTCTTGTCTAGGGCTGTGAAAGGAATTGGGCAGGACATACATGAATGTGGCAGCCCCATAGAACATTCCAACCACAGTCAGATGAGAAGAGCAGGTGACAAGAGCTTTCTTCCTGCCCTCATTTGAGGGCATATGGAGCACAGTAAAAAGAATTAGTGTGTAGGAAGCCAGGATGGCAGCAAGAGGGGGAATAAGGAAGGTCACACCCATCACATAAACCATGAGTTCATACATGGAGATGTCTGCACAGGCCAGCTTCAGCAGTGGAGGGATCTCACAGAGCAAGTGTCTGATCTTCCGGGATTTGCAAAAGGGATAATGCATGGTGTAGGTAGTATATCCTAAAGCCATCAAGGATGCAAGGATCCATGATGTGGCCACCATGAGCCAGCAGATGCTTGGCCTCATGAAGATCATATAGTTCAGAGGATGACAAATGGCTACATACCTGTCATAGGCCATGAAGGCCAAAAGAAGGTCCTCTGCACCACCCAAGGTCAGTGCCAGGAACATCTGAAGGGCACAGCTCTCAAAGGTAATGGTGTTATCCCTGAGCATAAAATCTATGACAGCCTTGGGAGTAACAACTGAAGTGAAGAGGAGATCCATGAGGGACAGCTGCCCGAGCAGGAAGTACATGGGCACATGAAGACGGGAATCCATGGTGATGACCAGAAGCAGCAGTCCATTGCTGGTCAAAGCCAACATGTAAAAGGCTGTGAATATGGCACAGAGCAGTTCAGGAGAGCCACTGTCATCCAGAATCCCCACCAAGATGAAGTCACTTCTCAAGGTGGAATTCCAGGGCTCCATTATATGTGATCTTTTTAGTTGCCTAGAAACAGATAGGTTTAGTGGAAACCTTGCTAAGGGAGTTCAAACCACTTTAGAATTGTTGCAGGTCATTGTGTAATGGTCAGTAGGAATGTATTTTCCCTTCACTAGCTAAGTTAGTTGTCTGATTTCGGAATAACAGAATGTTATTATTCAATTTAGGCATTCCTATAGTATCAATAACATGGATAAAAAGAATTTTGAGAATTGAAAATTACAGGTAGTTTATTTTTAATGTATCAATACAATACTTTTAGACAAATATCTCTGTGAATAGAATTAGGCATGTATATCTTCATATGCACAAATACACAGACATTGATTTAAATCGTGTTTCTGGTCAAAGTATACTTGTGATTATAGTTCATATTTTTTAAGTTTGATCATAAAGCATCTTTGAAATTTTATTCCATTGTCCTGAGTTCTTAGACCATTAGCTTTCATTCTTCAAATGCTTCTACTAATTGAGTATACTATTCGTTTGGGGCAGGGGGTAGAGGTGGGATAGAATTCTTAAGTGATAGAAATCAAAGGTGATTTTATCTTAAAGATAAAATGGTAAGATCATGACAGAAGATATTTGCTGATTAGAAGTCAATGATACAATTAAAAATACAATTTAGAAAGGAGGGAATGGAAAAACAGAAACAGATTATAATTAATAGGAAATGGGAGATTTTGTGTTTATGCTATTTGATAAATGGAGTGAGTTACCAAAAAGATATTGTTGGAAAGACTCCAAGTTCTAACATTACCTAGGATTCAGTGCATCAATCTGAGCATTACAAAAGGTTTCCTGTCCTCAGAAGTCTTAGTACAAAGCAGGAAAACCCTGCCAAACTCTGAATTCATATGACATTTCTGCTTGAAGTTGAGAAAGAAATGACATAAGGGGTGTGTGTGTGTGTGTGTGTGTGTGTGTGTGTGTGTGTGTGTGTGTGTGTGTCTAATTTTTACTAATGTCCATTTTCCTTAGTTGTATAGTAGGAAAGAGTCCAGAAGACAAAAGGAAGATTCATCACCACACGTGTCGTGTACTCTTCTTTCCCTTTTCTATGGCATTACTCCTGTACTCTCAGTTTTTCTTGATGTTTATGTCAGATCAAGTCTTCTAAATGATACAGTCCTAGAAACCTGACATTGTGAGGCAATGTGATCCACTTCCTTTCATTCAAAGTAAAATGAACTTCAACTCATCAGACACTGTACTTGATTCTAGGGTACTACCCAGGTCTTACCTCAGAAACACTGTCTGGAAGAGTGTCTTTGCCTATTAAAAGAAGAAAGGGGGGGACATTGAGAATGATTGTTGCTTTTCCAAGAAGACCTGAATTAGGTCCCAGTACCACATCCAACAGCTCCAGACCTCCTGTAACTCCAGCTCCAGGAGGTCCATCACCTTCTTCTGACCTCCAGGGAAACATGTACACATGCACAGTAGACACAGACACATGCACATGATAAAAAGAAACTATTTAAAATATAAAAAATATCATTAGGCATCATTACATTGACTTTTTGTCAGTCATGTTTGGTTCTATCCTAGGTCTCTGGGCTATCAAGCCTTTGAGTCCAGGTCCTCCAGGGTATGGGCTCACTTTTGTGGTATGGGTCCCAGGCTGGGCTAGTCATTGGATGGCCACTCCCACAATTTTTGCACCATCTTTGCACCAATACACCTTGTAGGCAGGATAGATCGTAGGCCGAAGGTTATGGAAGTCTCGCCTGGTTATAGGAGATGGCCAGTTCAAGCTACATACCCTGTATTATTAGGACTCTTCTAGATTGGTGCCCAACCCAATTGTCAGCAGAAAGGCTTCATCCATCAACTGATGGAAACAGAAGCAGAGAGCCATAGCCAGCATAACCAAACATTAGGTAAAGCTCAGAAAATCCTGCAGAGACAAGTAGGAAGGATTTTAGGAGCCAGGGGGATCAAGGACACCACAAGAAAACCCATAGAATCAACTAACCAGGGCTCAAAGGGGCTCACAGAGACTCAACTGACAACCAGGAAGTCTGCATGGGACTGACCGAAGCCCTCTGCATATATGTTATAGTTATGTGTTTTGGTCTTCTTATGACTCCTAACAGTGGAAGCATGGGCTGTCTCTGACTCTTTTCCTGGCCTTTGGGACACTATTCCCCATACTGGATTGCCTTGTCCTGCCTTAGTACAAGGGAAGATGCTTAGTCTTACTGCAACTTGATATGCCATGTTTTGTTGATATTCAAGGAATGTCTGCTCTTTTCTTAGTAGAAAAAGAGGAAGAATGGATGAGAGTGCAGAAAGGGTTGGGGGAAACATGGAGGAAAGGAGGGAGGGGAAACTATGGTCAAGATGTAATATATACATATATATTAAAACATACATAAATAATTATATATATAATAAACAAAATGGCACAATCAAGGCCAATTCTGAACAGTGTTTCTGTTACATGTGAGATTTCAGATGCCATTTTTTGAGACAGCATCTCACTATGTAGCCTTGGCCTAGAACTGGCTTTGTTAACCAGACTGGCCTATAATTTCCAGAGAAATACCTTTTTATATATTCAATAGAAGATGTATGAATAGAGAAATAAAGTAAGGAAGATAATTACCTGAAACATTCCTTATGTTTTCTGTTCTAGTCTCTAGATAAAGTTTCAAAAAGGAGAAACAAAAACTAGGATGGTATTAAGTAGTCACCAGTACTCGAAATCCTATCTACCTGCTACTTCCTATCCATCAAGGCTCAGCTTCTCTTCTTTTTGGTTCACTGTCCCTTCCCTCTGCTCTCTAGAAACAAAGGGCAGGACATGCACACTATGCCAGCAAGAGGGAGAGCCCTTTCCTGTAGATCACTTTAGTAATATGGGGACCTCACAGCAAGAGCTTCAGCATGGATAAACATAGCTTAGATAAATAGCTTAGAAACAACAGATAGAAACAACCACCATCCTCCACGGAAATGGTCAAAGGAAATTAAGCAGATGAAGCTACAATTTTGGGAACACTTTTGTTCACATGCCTTTCTCTGTGTCAATGCTCAGTGTTGTCAAATTTTTAAATTGATTTCAATTAGCTTTTCTGTGTTATTTTTAGTGTCAAGTAGGCATATAGGGTACTTTAAAATGTCATTAGGTGGCTCTGTTTGGGGGTCTTATTCATTCAGAGTCCACATCAGACTCTAGGAGTTCAGGAAAATTCAGCTGAACCAAAGGAAATTAATGAGAGTTTTATCAGGAACCCAGCCTGAGGAATTCTCACAACTCGGTGTGGCCAGAGTGGAAGAATGACTTCAAGTGTCCACAGATGTAAGGACAATTGTGCTCTGAAGCCAGAGGAACTAGAGAGTCTATGACAGAGAAATATGCATTTGATGCTATTTCTCAAGGCTTTTGACCCCCATATATTGCCTGAATCAGAGACAGGAACCTTACCTCCAACACCAGCAGGCAAAAATTCCAAACAATACCAAGTGCTGTGGGGTTCTTTTCAGAGCTGAAGAGGTTCACAATGCTAAGGAGAATAGATGTGTTTCTTGCAGCAGCTGTCATTAGTTTCATAAATCATATGACCCTGTAGTCACTGCCACTGCTGGTCTTTCCTTTCTGTGAAGAACATGGGCACAAGTTGAGATTTAGCAGAGAATCCTGGGGAAGGGAGGTGATGAGTCCCTTAGCATGGTTCTCACCTCCAAATTAGAAGAATTTTCTGAACCCTGCAATAAGATATTGACTCGGGAGAACTAACATTTAATATCCATAGCTATCAGTGACATGTAAGTCAAGACTACATTGAGATTCCATCTGGCTAACATCAAGTCATCATTTATTATAGAACTGGCTGTCATCAAGAAAACAATAATCAGATCTGGTAATTTTCATCTATAAACTGACTTTTATATCTCTTTTTCTGCAAGAGTCCATGATATAAGATAAGCACAGAAGGAATTTGGAGAAAGAGGGATGGGCAGGGCTGTTCAGAGAAAACCAACCACTGCCTAGCCTCGTTGTCCCTGGAGCAACAGTGAATATTATACTTGTCCTGGGGAGATTTGACTGTCTTCATCCCAAGTGGCATGACCTTCCCTGAAAATGCTGCCCATGGAAAGTAGATTTAATGAATCCTCCCAGGCATATCCCCTAGCCTAGAATTTCTGCATACTTCGCCCTTTAAATTATCTTTAGGCTCTGAAAACTTGTTCTGCCCCACTTGGCTTTGCCCAGGATTCCCTGACTAAATATACTATACTAGAAAGTCGTAAGCATCAAGAGACCACTGAATAGCCTCTGCCTTGTAACAAAGTTGTCTTACACCCCTGTGAGGGCTCCATTCTCTACTTCTATCCTGTGTTTCTTGTGTGGGGGCTATTATCAACTGCAGGGAGGTAGCTAGACAGTCAGCTGATGCCAGGTCTTCCTTCATTGATCTCTAAGTAGCATCAACACTGGTTTATTGAAACTTCTCTGATAGTTTCCACTCTATTACGTCTCATTTCTCCCCTCTCATGCATGTACTTATGTGAGTGTGTGCCTGTGTAGCCTGTAGCCTGCAGCCACAGCTCCATTGCTCAGAGTTGCCAGGTAACACAGGACACCAGCCTCAGCTCTCACCGCTCTAGGTCAGGACATTCTTCTCTCTCACCCAGTTCTTTCCTCATCCTCATCCTCTTTTCTCAGTCTTTAGTCACTTGTTTCTCAAAAAAAAAAAAAAAAAAAAAAAAAAAAAAAAAAACCACTGGGAAACAGCTCCTGGGGACTCTATGACTTTTTATTTTTAACTTTATGAAAATTAAATGCAGACATTCACTTGTTGATAACAAACATGACTGCATAAGTTCAGTAGAAGAAATATAAAGTCTGATGGCTTTATCATTATAAAACTGACATAGTCTTTCTGGTGAATTTTCTTTCTACTGTGATTATTAGATTCTGTCAATACCATGTCAGCTCCATGCCTGATACTTCTCCTTAGAACACCATCCACAT